GAGTTGAAATGCTTTGGGGTATGGGGAGGGGGGATATTGCGCTGGATTGAAGTATGGTGCAGAGTTGGAGAGAGAATGAGAGAAGAACAGTATGTAGAGAAAAAGACAGAGAGTATAGAGGGCGGCAGAGACATACATAAAGGGCAAGAGAGAAAGCAACAACGCCGTGAGTCGGGGTTGGCAGAGTCTGTCTGTGGTCTTCGGACTTGTACGCGGCAAGTGGGGGGTAAGTAAGGGTTGTTTTGCGGTGATTGCTGTACCGACTACATCAGTATCAGTTTAAAGCCAGAAGCAAGGATGAGCTGGAGGGTTTCCCGAAGCTATGAGATAGTGGTGGGGTATGGAAGGGCAAAGAAAGAATTACTCTGGCTTTGTTTTATGAAGAAAGGACCATGTAAGAAGTCGAATTCAAGGCATATTTCCACCTGTCAATGGGAAAGAATAGTTTTCTGCAGCGAATTTTATTCACTCCATGATACAGTTTGCTTTAGATTTTCTGCGTAGTCATCGCGCTCCAGTATGATAAGTCCACCTTTATCTGATACCCGGCGGTAAAACATCAAATGGATTTGCCGATCGCCAGGTGGGACAAAATCTACATCCATCATTGCAACTATATTTTTCGCAAGTTATGTTGTTTCAGAGCAAGTTCTCTGTCCCACCCATACGTGCTCTTTCCCGCCAACGTAGTGTTTCCCACTGGGAGAATATCTCGGCCACTGTGGGTATGTCCATATGCTTACACTTGCTAAGTGGGAAAAAGGCTTGAAAGGGGGGTGCCTCAGATTGAGCAAGACGGCGGGCGTTTTGCTCTTGGTGTGACCGGTGGCAGTATCGATCAGTAATGCCGCACTGACTTTTGCGCGCCGAAATATGCCCGCGACAGCTTTAACCTAACCACTTCGGTGGAAAGCAGAATTTTGTTCGATAAGTTGTCGGGAGTGCCGAGGGGGGAGGGGCCGAGTCTTGTTTGACTACGGTTGAATTAGGGGTTTTGGACGTTTTTCTCAAAGGTGCAAGCCTAGACTACAGGTGTAGTATTTCGAGAATCATAGTGGCATTCGATTCTGGCCATCGAGTTCGTTTTAGGTTGGAGATTCATTACGGACGCCACGATTGATTTTTGGTTGCATATGTCTGGGTGTATCTGCACTTTTCGGAGGGCAAACGAAATAATATCAATAAACTAGTTGATTGGAAAATTAATTGAGAACACCCGCCGTGGACCTGATGAGAGCTTGGCTTCTGTCAATTTGGCAAAGGTCAGACGCATCTCTTCGCCAAATTTTGTAGATTCGACATTCCATTACGGTAGTTTGGGACCTGTGTGCAATCGGCCCAAAAACACATAGCTTGGTTCACCAGCAATGTAAAGCGTCGGTCCGAGGGATAGGTATTAGGGCCGGCCCAAATGCACAAAACTTTGGTTCACCGGTAACGTTATCGTTCTTAGGCCGATCGTATCCAGGTACATCCAGGTGATTCGAGACCATCAAGTTTACCTCTCAACTTGCAATGGGTGAAGCAGCGAGCTCGGTCATAAAGCTGAGAACACAATTAATTTCCCATTTCGCGAACCCTGACGTGAACGGTTAATACTGTAGTTCAGACGATGGCTGCGTGGCCTTTTTTTTTCTTTTCTTTTCAAGAGTCTACCGTGCGTCTCAATTCAAAACTGAGAGACATCTCCGTCGTTTTTCCAAGTCCGCCAGAAGAACACGGGACTCAAATGATGAAAACCTGTGCAACCCTTGAGAAAGTCCGCGATCGGTCCGACATTGTCAGGAAAAAGAAGAAATTTGTCGTCGCTTTCATCGATGACACACTTGTTCGGATGGCCATCAATATGGAGCTCTACTCTGGGTGAGCGGAGAGTCCGGGGTTGTGGTGGCTATGTCCTGCCACCGGAGGTTGGCTATTTCCATTGGTGCAATGTGGCGAGGAATGCCAAGCGTGACTGAGCGAACTTAGTCAAGCTAGGGTGGTGCGGAGAGAGGGCGAGCCTTCGTGGACCCATTTTCCCATTCTCCCAAAGATCCATCAACTCTTCGCAGCCGTTGGGAATCACAAGAGTTGTGGACCCTCGGAGCACGGTAATCCATTTTGACATATTCCCTCAGATCCTACTTTTTATGTACGTGTATCTGTGCTCCCTGAATCTCCATATCCTGACCTCCACATTGTCCACCTTTTTCTTCGCCGAAAGCCCAGCTTGTCGAAGTTGGGTTTTGGCGCACATGCATGTTCGCATGTTACTTGTGGTGGAGCAGGTATGGATGTATCATTGGATCCAGATACAGCTTTTCGAAAATTAATTCTCTCCCTCACTATCCGAAGACAGCTGACAGTGCCGTGTGGAATATACACGTGTTGGAAGCAACACGGATTTACTCTCTCCAAGGCTCGTACAAGCTACCAGGTATTGATGTCAATCCATGATGTGTCAAAGCTTATTCTTGTTAGACTAAGTATCAAGAATTTGTACTTTGTGCGGATTTTAAAAAGTAGCCATATCACCGCTGGGCGTAAGCAATCGTGTTGCTTACTGAGTGCGATAGACATACGGTGTTCGACAGTCTTAAGACTGTTTCCGTGACTCATTATTTTCGTCATCGAGTTGCGACCCTCAATGCTACTTGAGACTGATCAATTTGACATTTCCTCGCCAGCACTTGACCCAACCAAATGCTGGATAGTAACCTTATTGTTTGGATGCTCTTCCTTTGACCGTTTAGTCCAGACACTTTGTTTGGAAATGCATCTTCTGTTTACCTTCGGACTTCGTTTACTTTTCCGCTGAGTACTTTCCTTGTTCACGCATTTTTCTGGCTTGGTACACGACGTGTTTGGCCTTGCTTTGTGCTTTGCACGTTTGTTTGTATTCGGATCCCTACCTTCGTCGCGTTTTCGTTTCGCTATTTTCTGCGGCACTTCGGACGATTTCTTGGCGGGCGCGATGTCCAGATCATGTTTCGATCGGTATGCGGAAATCATTTCGTGGCATGGCGGCACTTCGTCGGCACGATACAGCAGATCTGGTGCAGGACCGCATCTTTTGAGTCTTAGACGATATCGATAGTTGTGGGGACCTGTTCGGCCTTGACCGCTTCGATGCCCTACCACTTTCAGAACGACGTATCTTTCAATTTTCGGTTGATTTTCGTCGTTTGCTGTCAGGGCAGGTACAAGAATTTGTTTCCCAAGAAAAACTTCAGCCAGTTTTCCAAACAACTGTGGTGCTGGTGGTTGTTCCCTTTCATGGTACTGTTTTAGATGGGCACGATCCACGGATATTTCTCGTGATTCACTGACACGCTTCACCCTATACACAACTGGCGACAGTTATGAGCAGGTGGTATACGGACCTCGCCAAGGTAAGAACAGCTTCGGATTTGGTCCATCTATACCCTGGTGTGGTCGGTATACGAGTACTTGTTGACCAGGTTAAAGGACGGGGTACTGCGGTAACTTTTCGTTTTTTGCAGCTTGCTTCTCTGCACGTTCCGTGAGGTTACTTCGCGCTAGTTCGAAAGCAATTTGTAGATTTTCTCGTGTCTTTTTAGCAAAACTCTCGGTATCTGCAGTTGATCCAACGTGTGGGATTCCGAGAATTACATCTATCTACCGGTAACCGTCCTTGGTGACCAAACATCAAGAAGTACGGTGTCTCATGCATGGTTTTATCAAACGACGTACCATTGGCAGGAGATCCGCCCAGTTGTCACGATTCATGGAGCTTGGCGGATCTCCTGCCAATTCTGCATTGCGAGCATAGAATGCATCGATAGTCGTTGAATGCACACGCTCAGAGACCGAATTACCTTGCGGATGGTGCGGTGTCGTGCGTGTTTTCTTTTAGCCCAGGATTGTTTGCAACTGGTAGATTATCTTGTCCTCGAATTCAGATCCTTGAGCATTTTAGGCGGGTCAAAGATACTGTTAATCCGATCGATGATTACAGTGCCACGGTTTCAGCAGTTTGTTTGGAACTGGTGTGAGATTGCAAACGCGTCAAATGGTCCATCATGGAAAGCACATATTTACATCTCACTCCGACTGCTGACATTGAGGAGAGTGATTTGTACTCGACTAGGTCGACTGATACTCTTTCAAACGACCGCTGTACAGGTACGTACGTAACCCGTCGGCAGTTTCGGACGGCGGTGACGTGTCTTTCTCCGTTGACAGGCCTGGCATTCTAGGCACCAAGTCCGGATGTCACGGTTGATTGACTGCCACCAATATCTTTGTCGTATTTTTCCGTACGTTGGACGAAATGCGAGGTGTCCACCTGAAAGAGCGTGATCATGGAATGCGTGCTTCACAAAAACAGTGAGTTCATGTGGGACTACAAGTTGATCACTACAAGTGCTTCGTTTTCGTAGGTGTCCTGGCAGATAAGATTTCGACAGAAAACCGCCTTGTCCGGAATAGTACGACGTTGATGTTGCCGTTTCGTTGTCTGGTAGCGGTGCTTTGGCGTCTAAAATGTATTGGACGTATTCGCCGTATTCTTCGGCTTGGTTCTCGCGCAATTTCTCATGATCGACAGATTCATATACTTTCGTGGCGCTGACTAAATTTGAATTGACTGTGATTGATTCCCTATCCCTTAGGACTGGTTGCACATCATCCAACTTGTCAGTCGAGACTTCGTATGGTCTGTTTGGCATGTGTTGTTGCAGCTTTGGATCGTCCGGTACATGTCGGCAAATCGGTGCAAGGTTCGGCGCAGTTCGTTCTTGTTCATTATCGAACACGAAAAGTCGCGATAACGTATCCGGCACTAGCAACTTTCCCGGTTAATTAATGGTTTCCCGTGAAATCGAAGGATTGCAGTGCTATTGCCCACCAAGTCAGCATATTTGACGTGTCTTGCACTGTACAAAGATATCGCAATGCCCCATCATCGCTTACGCACGTAAAATGTCTACCCCATAAATAAATAAGGACGCCAGTGTTGATTGAATTGCTAGAACAACAGCATAGCATTCTTTCATGGTGGCAGAGTAGTGTTGCTGGCTTTCGTTGAATCGCTGGCTAAAGTATGCTACGATACTCACGTCATCGCCATTCTGTTGTGCCAGGAATGCTCCTGCTCCCACTTCAGATGCGTCTACGTGGATAACAAACTCTCTTTGGAGAAATCCGGAAAATGCAAAAAAGGAGGTTGGTGAGTAATCGTTTCACTTCGGCAAGTTCTTCACATGTTTCGGACCCCAGCGTTACGCTACCAACTTCACTGCGTTTTTCTTCGTAAGGTCAACCATTGGTGCGGTGACGGCGGCGAAGTCTGGGATGAGTTTCCTGACTTAATTGGCCGTTCCTAGGACTGATGGCAAACTTTTGATGTTTGTTGGCGTTGGCAACTCTAGTATCGAATTTATCCGATCTTCACCTGAAACAACATATTCGCCTGATTGAGAGCGTAGCATCTGATTGAGAGCGAGATTGCGCGATACGCTGTAGCCGGACTACCACTGAGAGGTGGAGCTTGCTGTGTAGCTTGAATTGAAGGGCTAGCCCGTAGCTTCAAGCCGCTACCCTGGTCATCCTGTGGGAGTCTCTCGTTGTGGAGCTACAGCGGGGAGCAGAAGCTACAGCAGAGCCCACCGCCCGACGCGATACCGCCCTGAAACAGTTTGAGCAGAAATAGCCAATCTGGGCAAATCTAGCAACTTGTCTAGCTCCTCGCTGCAGCATCCGATGACGATGACACGCATATGCTCGCGAAGCTGCTGATGAGACCTTCAATTTGCACCGCTTCTTGGAATAGCCCGTCCCCTACTTGCCAAGAAATGGCAAGAGGCGTCTGGACCCGAAATTTCAATTTTTTTGGCTCTCGCTCTCAATCAGATACTTCGCTCTCAATCAGGCGAATATGTTGTTCTGAACGTATGCCAACTGCGGAAAGAAGATGGTTTAATATTCATGTAGAGTATGAGACATTAAGTGAAAGTTTTCTGAGGCATATCTGCAATTAATTATTATTATTATTATTTCGTTTGCCACCCGACAATTGCAGATTCATATATAAAACAATACCTAATATACACATACATAGACTATTCAAAACGCCTGAACCGTACTTGTACCGATACACATAGTATAGCCTGCCATAAAAAACACTTCTGGTTAGAATCTGTCAACACCAACAAATTCCATAGTAAATGTTCCAATCAATCCTTCATCTTCTGCTATGGATACTTCACCATTCTATACATTCAACACACCACCAACAACCACAAATAAATAATTAATTGTCGGAAGACAAAAAAAAAAAATGCCCAACATACTTCACTTCTTTGGCCCAAATTATACCTTTGATGGTTTTAATGAATGACCTGCGGCTTGTAGCGCTTGAAAGGTATTTTCCCAACGAGAGATAGATATGACCCTGCCATGTTGATGAACAACAGAAAAGATCATCCATGTACGTACACGAGAAGACCAGATTTTGGACCAAAATGTACGAAAGTCGATGCCATCGTACGTTGAAACAGAAAAGGCGCATTGGCGATGCCAAACGGGAGTCGTTCAAAAAAACATTTTCTGTCCTGAGTAACGAATGCAGTCTTGTCTTGTTCTGCTTCGGCAATTGATTGGTATTTGGTGGTATGTGTACATCGCAGACTGTGAGGTATTCAGCACCTGCTACTGTGTCAATATGACTTGCCATTTCAGGCATTGGCCACGATTTACGAATTACATTCTTGTTGATCGTCGCTCTGTAATCTACCCAGAATCGGGGACTGCCGTCAGCTTTTGCTACCAACGTTACTGCTGACCCCCATGGGCTCGCTCTTTCTTTGCTCGATTATCCCAGCTTCTTCCATTTCACCAACACATTTGTCAATAGCCTCTTGCATTCGTGGATTTGCACGATATGGAGCTCTGTTGACTGGTTTTGTTCCTGGCTGCAATGGAAAATCAGCCTCTGTGAGAGTACATCTGCCCAGTTCTTTAGGACTCAGGGAGAATACTGAACGGTATTTGGTACACAGTTTAGGTATTTCTCCACACTGGTCGGGCAAAACAGTTGTATTTCTGAAGGCTTTGGCTAATGCGTTCGTGAGATCTGTACGGATTTTTTCCGTTTCTTCAGGGCTCGCTTGAACGCTGCTCATTGTTTGTGGCAGTACTGTTTTCACTGGAGAAATATAGCCGGTACGTGTATTTCTCTTCAGGGATACCGGTCTGTGAAAGGGTTGGCCAGTTGTGCCATTGCACTATTTTCTGAAGTGCCCATACCAGTGACAGACTGTGCGTGCTACTATCTCCCTACGAATGCATCTGGTGTATATCCTGCTTACCAACGTCATCGGACGTAACGATGCGTGGTTGAAGTACGGCAAGTAGGTGCGGTTTCATCTGGTGCCTCAAGCGAATGAATTTTGACGGCTATTTCATGTTGTGCAGGCATGCCGCATTTCCGTGTAGTGTATTCAGGCACTGCAGGCGTGTCCCTCCCTATTGCTACCACAGAACGGTTCATACTGTTTTCCTGATCGGTCGTGGAGTAGCGCGTTTTGCGGTGGACTGCTGGAATTTTGGAGGTTGTTGTTGTAAACGACAATTCTTCCGCTTGCCAATCAAGAACACCACCAAATGCGCCCATTATACTATGGTCGAGTAGCATATTATCAGGTGCCAACGACGGCAGCACTAGAGCTTCAACAGGTAATGTGATTTCTCCTAGTGTAAGTTCAAATCGAGTGTACCGTGCAATTTTTAGGGGCGAACCATCGGCGCTGCGCAGGTTGATTGCTCCCGAGGGTAGTACTGGAAATACTTCCTTCCGTGTTGTTAACGTTTAGTGACTTCTCATGAACTTCCGTGAAATGCATGGTATGTCACACGCCGTGTCGATTATTATTTCATCAACCGATTCATTGTTTATTTTGGCGGGTACACGTACTCGCTTCGATGTCGATCGCAATACCGATCGACACACGGGATATCCAGCGAGTGCAGACACACACGTCAACATGAAATTCTTCATTACGGTCAGTTCTCATTAGGTTTAGTCCAATGTTTCGACCTGAAGCCCCCAGCTACTTTAGCTACGTGCAAGGCTTGCGGCGCTAAACAGGCGGCTACTTGCCTTCCTTGGGTGCTATCCCCTAGCGCTGGATCTACAGCAGCTCCTGCATCAGTTGTGCGGGTACGTGACTTCGGGACTCCTCGCGTTTGCTTGCTGCTACAACCGTCGCGAGAATGTTCTCGTGGCATGTACTTCAACTAACTGTCGTTCACAGCGCTGCTCGTTGACTGCTTTTCTTGTTGTTCCCACCAGAGATCGTACACCATTGTTACAGTGTTTTGATTCCCTCTCATCTACTCTGGCTCTCTTCTGCTTACTCGTGCTTTGCATTCTATCCCAGTTTGTACGTGCTGGTTTGACAGAATCACATGATGATTGGTGTCCCACGTTGGCCGAGGGATGCTACCTACTCGGGCGACCCTTGTTTTTTTTAACTGTCTGTGTAGATTAGACTAGTCTACCCCTCATTTTTGGCGGCCTCTTCGTTTTTTTTGCACTCCGCGCGGGTGTGCGTAAAGCGTACGTTACTAAATCGGCAACCAATAAAGTCACATTCCTTCCTAGATTTGGCGGTGTCGGACTTGGCCGTACCAGCGAACGATACTTTCGCCTTCGCCCGCGCTGGAGGACCCCGGGATTTGGAATTATCCTTATATTTTGTCACGTTTGTCGGTCCCCCGCTGAGCACGCCGTTTTCGAAAGATGCAATGAGAGCTTGGTTTAAAGCGTGTTCATGAGGTGGTACATTCAGCAGAGCTGTGTGTTCAGCCTCGGCTAGAAGTCTGGCATACGCGCGTGATACTCTGAGCGCAAACACGTCAACTGATTCGTTCGCTAGTCTTCGCTTCTAATGTCATGGCATCACGTGCAAGGAGAGCAAAATCCAGTTGACGGGAGCGAACGACCTGGTGAAAGCCATGACCCATTCGTTCCATGTTTTCGGAGGTGTGATTCGGACCACTTCCCCACTTGCACGCAACGCATTTAGCTGAGCTGGCGGTTGCCATTCGAGAGATGAGCTAAGCATGAAGCTGAGACTTTGGGCTGCGGCACCTCGCACGAAGCGCGCGAGATGTTTGATTGCGCGGTGATCGATTGTGCTTTGAGAGACGTTTTCTGCAGACAAGAGACCGATGTGTGCCCTGTGAAGTGTCATCTTTTCCGGAACATCTTCGTGAGGCAGACCCTCGAGCTTGAGATCAGGAGGTAGGTCAGTAGCTTTCAAAGTAAATCGCGCCGTGCGAATCACGTCCTGGTTTACCGTCCTTTAAGTTACCGGGGTAGGGTTGTCCTGGTTTACCATTTGCTGGTTTACCTGGTTCGGTGAGGCCTGGTTTACGGTGTTGTCGTGTACCGGGTTAATGGGTGAAATTGTCGGTGTGGACATATTTCTCTGTTCAACACTTGCTGTCGTGTTCATACCAGAGCGATTTTCTGCTTCTAGATCGGGGGCAAGCGAACGCGGATTCACCTTCTGGATGTCTTGCTGGTGAGCGGCTCCCGGCATAAGCATGCTAAGGACCCATGCCGGCGGGGCCTTCTCCGCCTCCGCTACCTTTGTGACCGCGCTGACGAGAACGGCCTCCAGCGGGCCGCCGCTTGACAGTAGCGGTGCACTCTGCTGTCTGGCGGAGTCGGCGCGGTAGTGCAGGATGTCGTGTGCGAGGTCGTCGTCGACGTGGTCGTCATCGTCATCGTCGTCGTCAGGGGGTGGGTCGGTGTCGAGCGTTTGGGTTCCAGCCATGGCGCCGTCGCTAGCGCTGCTGTTGTTGTCGCTGTCGCGACCGCCACCGTCCAGGGCGTGGAAATATCCACCATGGTGACTGCTCTGCGAAGGTGCTACGCTCGCAGCCGCACCGGCGGATTCCCCAGCTTGGGCAGGCTTCGGCTGTCCCTCTTGGGGCTTAGCCGAGCCGTGGTTGGTAGTGGCAGCAGCGTCGGGACGCGGCGTTGCTGGCGGTTTGGGCGTCAGCAGCTTTTCTTTTTGCTGCTGTTGCTGCTGCTGTTGCGACCCTCCGTCCTTTTCCTTGCCTTGCTTCTTCCTTGGATTGGAGCCCATGTTTCACACGTGGGTTGCAAAGATAGAACGCTTCGTCGAATGCCAATATGGAGCCCTCTACTCTGGGTGAGCGGAGAGTCCGGGGTTGTGGTGGCCATGTCCTGCCACCGCAGGTCGGCTATTTCCTTTGGTACAATGTGGCGAGGAATGCCAAGCGTGACTGAGCGAACTCAGTCAAGCTAGGGTGGTGCGGAGAGAGGGCGAGCCTTCGTGGACCCATTTTCCCATTCTCCCAAAGATCCACCAACTCTTCGCAGCCGTTGAGAATCACAAGAGTTGTGGACCCTCGGAGAACAGTAATTTATTATCACATTTCCCGCAGATCCTACTCTTTACGTACGTGTATCTTTTACGATGTATTTTGGGGGTACTCGTAGCATGGTATGACGGGATATCTTCGGTACGTACGTTCGGAAATTGCAGTGGTGAGATGCGGGGGAATCAGGACTTTGTGGGCATTTTCCTTGGAAGCGAGAAGAGTTTGATGGAGGTTCAGAGAGATACGTTTGGCAGTTTGAGCGTGATGAGCGTGACGCGTGCTTGCTGCCGTGACAGACTTTCGAGCGCGAGCACGCCCCCGAAGAATGCAATACGTTTTCTTGTGGCGTACCTCCATCTCGGCCAGCCTGGCCGCTAGCCAATGACACGTCGTCTACGAGATTCGCGGTCGAGTTCAGTTCTGGAGTATTATCGCTTTGCGGCGATCAGGAGCAGGATCAAGATGTCCGAACACGGGCGCGAGAGCGAGGTCGCCCGCCGAGCAGAGCAAGCAGCAGCTGAGGAAGCTCGGATAGCGTAGATGGCGAAGGAGAGGCTAGCAGCCAGGCTGGCCGAGATGGAGGTACGACAAGAAGGCGAGCAGCGACGCACAGATGACATCCGGAGCGGGAACGAGCAACAAGGGGCACATCTACCGCAACACGCGGGGAGCCCATCGGCCAACCCCTCCGCCGACGACATCGCCAACGCGATCGCCAACGCCGTGACTGGCCGTCTCCAGACCACATCCGGGGATTTCGGTAGAGTACCGCAAGTAGGGACTTTGCGCATGACTGAGACTAGGAGTCTAGAGCCTTGGGACGGCACTGTCAAGTCAGGGGAGGATGAACAGGCCAAACTCTTGGTCTTCAAGTCAAACATGGTTGCGATATTTGCACAGGAAGGTGTTTATGAGGTCATGATGAGTGATGAGGACATTCATGTTGGCAAAGATGGAGTAAACATGGCTGACCTGAAGAGAAAGGACGGGGATCAAAAGGTGAACAAGGCGGTAGCGGCGTGGAACTTGCTAGTCACAAAAGTGACTTCTACTTGCCAATCTTGACCCAGATCATCTCACACGGTAGCCCGAGCAGAGGGTGGAAATTTTTCCTCGAGCACTACGAGCCCCAAGCTCGTGAAGAAAACACACGCCTTTTATCAGAATGCCACGGCAGTAAGATGAAAAAAGGAGAGACTCCTCAGGAGTACTTCGGTAGGTTTACCGTTTTGCGAAACCGACTCGCCTCATACGGCGTGACTTTTTCAGATGATGATGCGAACAGCCACTTGGTTCTCAACGTGTCGTCCGACTATGATGTAGAGGGAGAATGCTGACCAATATGGACCTCTTGACTCGGCAGAAGGTCGAGAGGGCTGTGAGGAGTACCTATGCGGATCGCGTGCGGGCCCGGGAGGACGAGCAGACGAGTGGCGTGGGGCACGCTTTCGTCGCTTCCGGTGCACCCCGGGGCGACGGAGGTGTCCAAAATGGGTCGAGTGGAAACGGCGGTGGACAGGACGGCAATGGTGGCGGTCGGAGTAGGAGCACCGAAGCCAGAGGAGACAAACGCTGCGAGGTTCACCCGTGGGCATTTCACAGCAACGCAGAGTGCGATGCTCAGAGGAAGCAGCGAGAGCGGAAGCAGCGGGCTCAGCAGCAACAGCAGCCCCAGCAGCAACAGCAGCAACAGCAGCAACAGCAGCCCCAGCAGCAACAGCAGCCCCAGCAGCAACCGCAACAGCCTTAGCATCAACAGCAGCCGCAGCGGTACCAGCAGCCTCACCATCAGCAGCAGCAGCATCAGCAGCAGCAAGGCGGCCGCGGTGCGGGGGGCTGGGGTGGTGGACCTCGGCACGGACCCCACGGCGGCCACGGAGCGCAGCAGCGGTTTGGATACCCGGCACCCCCTCGCCCGCAGCAGCAGCATTGGCGACCCCCGCACGAGCATGCAAACGTGATGCACTAGCAGCATAGTGCCACGCCTACGGGCGGCCCACGAACGGTGGCGAGTATTGGAGTTGGGAGCAGCAGCAGCCACCGTACCAGCAGCCTCCGCCGGACGAAACCCAGCAGCAGCAGCCGTACTACCCGCCTCCGACGCCGTACTATCAGCAGCAGCCACCGCCACAGCCTCCGCCTCCGCCGACGTTCCAGCAGCAGCAGCCGTCGCAGCAGCAGCAGCACACCACTCATGCCCCGCCCTACTCGGCTCCTCCCGGAGCAGCAGCACCGTGCCCCGGCTCCCTCCACTTCTTGATGGCACGTTGTGTGCCTGCAGGCGAGATCGTACCTCGTGGAGTGGTAGCAAGTAGCGAGCGTGATAGTGGTAAAGGATTTTCTTTGGCTGCACGAAACCCGGATTCGAATTTTGGCAGAGAGAGATTTTGGGCCGACAGCGGCGCCACCAACACGTTTGTTAGCAGCAGCCATCAAATGTTCGACTTGAGGCCAGTGCCGCCCGGTAAGCAGTACATATAAGTAGGTAACGGTGCCTATTTGCGCGTACAATGAGCTGGCAAGGTAAACATGGCGTTCCACGTGCCCGGCCCTTCGGGCGAGACCGATTTTTGTGTACAGATGTCGGACGTGTACGTAGTCCCCGGCGTCACATTCAACCTGTTTTCTTTGCACTATACNAGCAGCCATCAAATGTTCGACTTGAGGCCAGTGCCGCCCGGTAAGCAGTACATATAAGTAGGTAACGGTGCCTATTTGCGCGTACAATGAGCTGGCAAGGTAAACATGGCGTTCCACGTGCCCGGCCCTTCGGGCGAGACCGATTTTTGTGTACAGATGTCGGACGTGTACGTTGTCCCCGGCATCACATTCAACTTGTTTTCTCGGCACTATCCGCAGCGTAGGCAGAAGATCACGTTGGACGAACATGGCGTGCACCTCTTCAGTGGTAGGCCTACATTTGCATACTCCGACGTGGGATGTTCCCTGTTGGCCACCCGCTTGCCTCCGGAGTATCCTGGTAGTGCTGTGACCTACAGCCCCGATGCCCCCCCCCGTGTTCTGTCCAAGCCTCCCCGCCTAGCGTTGGCACAGGCCTTGTCGCGGCAAATCCCCCTTTCCCACAGAGTGCAGGAGCGGGCACGACTTCGAGTGCGAGTGCGAGTTCCGGTTTCCAGTCCGTCGCAACGGCCGGCGTTGTACCTTCGACTTCTTGCGTCCAGCCCACCGGAGTCGCTGCCGGTGGTGTACCTCCGAGTTCGAGTGCGAATCCGAGCTTCCAGTCCGCCGGTGGTGCCGCTGCCGGTGTTGTACCTCCGAGTGCCAGTGCGAGTCCGACCTTCCAGTCCGCCGGTGGAGTCGCTGCCGGTGTTGTACCTTCGTCTTCGAGTGCGACTTCGAGCGTCCCATCCACCACGTCCGATGAAGTGATCCCGCGTTGTGCATTCCCGCCAATCGACGTAGATGTAGTGCCAACGATTTTTGCCGACTACCAGCCTGTAATCGCAGCTGCCGTAGCGTCGTCTGAGATTGCTTCTCCCTCCGTCGTTGACCCGAGCGATTTTCGTGAAGTTGTGATCAACCCCCTCATCCTCCAGGACCATTTTGCCTCTCATGGATATGAGCATGTTCCTTGATGTAGGCCTGAAGGATGGAATAGACTCGGTCCCACAGGGTGATTTTTTTTCGGATGCGCTTGATGTTTGCGACTCTGCAACACCCCCTCCCCCCGCGTTTGCCGTGATGAGTGATGAATTGGATTGCCTGAAGGGTTTCGTTGCTGGATGCAGTGAGCAGCAAACCGTAGCTCCCCCCTCCCTCTCGCATGCCTTGGCGATTATCGCCCCCGGTGCTTCCCCGTTTTCGGTAGGAAAATCCACGCCGACCATTGACACTAATTTGTTCCATGCCTCCACCGGCCATGTAAACGAATATTTTGTGCGTGAAACGGCCGAGCAGCAGGGCGTACGACTGGTGGGGGAGATGCAGCCGTGTGTGGGCTGCGTGGAGGCGAAGGGCAGGCGGGCACCGGTGCCGCGGCGTGGCACCCGCGCGGCGGTACCGTTCGGCAAAGTCCACATCGACCTCACGGGCCCGTTCTCTGACGCGCTGGACGGCTCCCGGTACCTGATCATGTTCGTGGACAGCGCATCGCGGTTGCAACGGGGGTACGGGATGCGGGCCAAGAGCGACACCCTGAAGTTCGTGTAGTGGTTCCTCGCCGACATGAACGGCATGGGCACTCCGGGGTGTTTCCGCATGGACAACGGCGGCGAGTTCACCGGCTCCGCGTTCACCTCGTTCTGCGACGCTGCTGGCATTCGGCGCGAGTACNGCGCCATATGGCGCGCCATGAAGGGGGGCCACGCCGCGCGCCGCCACATTCTCGCCATGGGCTACGTCGACCTCTCCTCCATCCCCAAACGTCGGCGTCAACGGACATCGCCTGTGGCTCTCGTCGGCGCTGTGGGCATCCGCCTGCTTCAACCACTCCGCGACGAAGGCTAACCTGGGCTGGATGTCGCCGTTCGAGGCATTCTTCGGCCCGAAGCCGCCCCTCACCGTCGTACCTTTTTCCCAGGAGGGGATGATGCGCGTGAAGCGGGCCACCAAGGCGGACGTCCAATCCGCGCGGCGCTTCTACCTGCACGGCGCCAACAACCAGTCGACGTCTACCGCCGTCGTACTTCGCGCTGACACCGGTCGCCTCACCCTCACCANGCCCGCTTCCCCGCCGATCTTCACAGGATCCTCAGCCCCGTCGCCGATCTCCGTCGCCCCATCATCAGCCCCACCGTCGACCGCAACAACGCCGTCCCATTCTGCCCCGGGCCTGCCGCCGCCGCCGTCGCCGCAGCCCACCAGCGCGCCACTCCCGCTCCCCCTCACCCGCCGCTTTCGAAACGAGCCGTGAAGGAGTTGGGACGAAAGGACACGAGGGTACAAGGCCGCACGCGCGGCGATGGAGTGCGGTTCATGGAGGAATAACAACAACCGCTGTCCGGTGGCGGCGCCGCTCTCCACCACCGTCTTGGTCTGTTAGCGATGATGAACAAGGACTCCCTCATCTCTTCGCTCGCCACCCAGGAGGCCGTGGATCAAGGTCGCNAGAGAACGCGATCAATGCCAAGTGGGTCTTCAACTGTAAGGCAGACGAGCATGGATGGCCGACGAAATTCAAGGCAAGACTTGCAGCGCGGGGGGGAATACAGAGGGCTTCGAATGATTTTGGAGAATTGTTTGCACCCACCGTTTCCGTGTGCAGTGTGCGCGTGTTGGCAGCATTAGCATGCGAGCAGAATCTTGACTTGTGCCATTTCGATATTCAGCAGGCTTTTGTGCAGTCTGAGCTTGATGATGATGTTTTCATGCGCTTACCGCAGGGGTGTGGTAGCATGTCTGGCCTGATCGTGAAGCTGTGCAAGAGTCTGTATGGTTTGAAGCAGGCATAACGACATTGGCATGCGCACCTGACGAGGTGATTGTTACTTTTAGGTTTTTTGCAGTGTCTAGCGGATGCATGTGTTTTTCGATTGATGGAGGAGGGAGATATGATCATGATCATCGCGGTCCACGTGGATGACATTTTTGCTGTAGGGCAGAAGGAGAGGTAGGTGTGACAAGTTTGGCAGGGATCTCAACGAGATGGTCCCCGTGAAGAACCTTGGAGAGTCGAGGTGGTACTCAGCGTGCTTTTACGAGAGAGACGTAGAGAGAGGGCTGTTGAAGATTTCGCAACGACATTGGCATGCGCACCTGACGAGGTGATTGTTACTTTTAGGTTTTTTGCAGTGTCTAGCGGATGCATGTGTTTTTCGATTGATGGAGGAGGGAGATATGATCATGATCATCGCGGTCCACGTGGATGACATTTTTGCTGTAGGGCAGAAGGAGAGGTAGGTGTGACAAGTTTGGCAGGGATCTCAACGAGATGGTCCCCGTGAAGAACCTTGGAGAGTCGAGGTGGTACTCAGCGTGCTTTTACGAGAGAGACGTAGAGAGAGGGCTGTTGAAGATTTCGCAGCAGAGGTTTGCCGAAGAGCTGGCTGCAGAGTATGCCGTTGAGTGGGTGCAGAGTGTTCCTCTTAAAGCTCTCCGACTTTGACGTGAATGAAGCGAGTGCTGATGTCCCTTTTCGCGAGTTGGTAGGATCTCTGATGATGTGGTTGGCCACTCAAACACGGCCGGACATTGCGAATGCAGTTCGAGCAGTAGGGCAGCATTGCGCGTCTCCCAAGATGGTGCACTGGAAGGCAGCACTCGGTATTTTAGGATACGTACGCAGGACGAGTCGGATGGGGATTACATTTGAGAGGGGCGTCGTGACAGGTATGAGCATGCAGCAGGTGTTTGTGGATGCCGACTATGCAAGCAAGGCGGCAGACCGGAGGTCGGTGTCTGGGGGGCTAGTGATGTGTGTGTGGGGGAGTGTGACTTGGTTTTCACGAACGCAGAAGTGCGTTATGCTTTCCACCACGGAAGCAGAGTACCATGGTATGTGGCAATTGCCGACGCCTTGAAGGAAGTGTTGTTCTTGAGGCAGGTGTGGCGTTTTATGTTGCCAGATGCGAGTATGCCGTGCACCCGGTGTTCGAGCATAATCAGGGAGCGGTTCAGATTGCGCACAACCCGATCACGAACTCCAACTCGAAGCACATCGATGTGCGGCGTCACTTTATCAGGGAGCTGGTAGAGAGGAAAACGCTTTCAATTACTCATGTGCCGACGCAATTTCAGCACGCAGATTTCTTGATGAAGGCTATGAGCAAGGAGTCTTTTGCGTTGCACCGTGACTTTGTGATGAACTTGCAGTGAAGGAAGAGTTTTGGGGTCGATTCGTATTCTGTAGCGGAGAGAGAGAGAGACGAGATTGGACAAGAGCAAGAGAGAGTCTGATGAAGGTGGTAAGGGTGTTGGAGGTGTGTAAAGATTTTTCTTGTTTGTTTTAGAGGAGTTTTAGTTGTGTTGGGATTTTTCTTGTTCGTTTTGGAGGAGTTTTAGTTGTGTTGGGATTTTTCTTGGTTGTTTTGGAGGAGTTTTGGTTGTGTTGGAATTTTTCTTGTGATTGACTTGGGAGGGTTCTTGCATGTTTTGGGGAGGATATCGGATCTGGATGCTTTTAGAATTTTCTTGTTTGTTTTGGAGAGATGTGTGTGTTGTGTGTGTTTTTGTCCTATTTATTATGGCGACAGTCCCCCGATTTTTCGTGGTGAGACATGTACTACACTTTTCAGCGTATGTAGAGTACTTCGCTTTTTCGGTGTATTTTTTCGTACAGCTACAACCGTCCAGGGTCACACAGGAGGGGGTAAATACCAGGGGTTTTTTCATCTTTTTATTTCTTTTCATGCCCCACCTTCCTCCTGCGGTGCGTGCTGAATTTTATTTTTATCGCGAGAAGGGTCCAGCCGTCCCTTTCCCTAGTCAACGGTGCTAACGTCGAAGTTTGGTACTCACGAGAGCTTTTTAGCTATGTTCCGCTTTCACCCGCAAATTTCGTAAATTTTTCACCCCATGGGGATTCGAACTCACGACCTCTCTGTGACTAGCGGATTACGAGGATACCACTAGACCACCGGGGCGACCGGTATTATGAGATGGTAAAAGAGGAGTTTGGTTTTTGCCGGAGCATGACGATGCATACGAGCAGGGGGGCTATTAGCTATGTTGGGGGTACTCGTAGCATTGTATGATGGGTAAGATCTTAAGTACGTACGTACGGAATTGCAGTGATGAGATGCGGAGGAATCAGAGAGGTCCGTTTGGTAGTTTGAGCGTGATGAGGGTGACGCGTGCTTGACGCCGTGACAGATTTACGTACAAGAGCACGCCCCCGAAGAACACAATACGTTTTCCTGTACGTCCCTCCCCTACCATGTATCGGCATGGCCCAGCTGCTCTACACTCCCAACATTTGGCGATTAGTCTTCTAATGGTTTAACATTTGGAGCTGAAGAATGCACGCGCTGTTCGTGTGTCTGGATACGAGCATGGTAGATCTGCTAGCAGCACGGGGGGGTACATAGACAGGAGCATGCGTATGCCTGAAAAAGGCTACTATGTGTGGGCCCCCTTCCCCGAATTCGGGAGGGCCACTTCTTCCCTTCCTTTCCTCGCTCCCGCGGGTGCCTAATCAGAGAGAGTTAAAGCGTGTCTTCTCCTCCCAAGTACGGACATACCAACACACTAGTGTTTATTCCCTCGAGGGAGTCCATTAGGGATGGCGGGCCGCAGAACCGGAGGGACCACTCCGGACGGCTCGCAGGCAGGAGACACAAATAGCAGCGAGCAGATCGACAGCATGCGGTCTGAGATCAGTTCGCTGACACAGCAAATGAGCCAGCTGGTGCAGCTGGTCGGAGGACTTGCTGCACGTATAGAGGAGAAGTCCGGCGGTGCCACGGAGGGCGCCGCTGAAAGCGGCGGCGCCGTGGAGAGCGTCGCCACAAGCACTGCAGGCCATGTTGGGACCGTGCAGTACGACCGGAGCGCACAGGCAGCGGACCTGCGAAGACAGTCTGGTCCTTCGGGACGACACAGCGGCGAAGTAGGGTGTTCAGACCCCCAAGAGGTGAGAGTAGCCGCTGCTCACAATCAAGCTTGTTTCAGCAGCGCCATGGGAAGTGGTGCTGCTGTCTTCGGTAGTGCGAGCGTGGGATACCAAAGCGTGAAGTACACAGCGCCCACGTTCAGCGGAGACGCCAAGAGCTTTTCTTCGTGGCTAGAGGATTTTTTGATGGCAGCGAACACAGCAAACCTTCTTGATCTTTTCGAGGAGGGGGGGGCGGAGATCCCCGTAAACAGTGGGCAGAGCAAAGTCCAACTGTCCAGGTTTTACCCGCACGACAAAGTAGAGCTCGCTTTCCACGCGTGGAATTTCCTCCGTGGAGCTCTCAAGGACGAGAAAGACAGGACAATAATGAAGCGAGCTGAGTCGCCCCTGGGGGCGCTCCGTGAGCTGAAGGGGTTGTACGACCCAGAATCGTCCATGCAGCCTGCGGATGAGTTAAAATCCCTGACATCCAAGAAGATCCCGATGGCAGAGAATCCGCAACATGCTCTCAACAGTATGCTCGCCACCGCAGAGTCCCTTTCGAAACGGGGGCTTGATGTTAACGAAACCTTCGTTTTGCACCTCTTCTTGGATGCCCTCTCCAACGAGTACGCTATGACCAAGCACGCCCTCAGACACAAGGAGAGGTTGACAAGGAGTGACGTCCTGAAGGAGGTCACCATCGAATATCGATCGATCATGGAGAAGGTGAAGGCGGGGAAAGGCAAGGGCGCGCGCGGCGCCGAGCAGGCCTACCTCGCCGATGGAGGCGGCCGCCGTGGGCGGTCGTCGTGGCGTGGGGGCGGCCGCCGAGGGCGGTCGTCCTGGCGTGGTCGTGGCGGTTGCCGCAGCGGCGGTCGCGGGGGCGGCGACAGCAGCGGAAAAGGCGGTGGCGGCGTCGAGGAGAGCAAGGGGAGTGGCTCTGGTGGGGCAGATGGCGGCGGTACCGGGGACAAGAAGTTCCCGGGCCGGTGCTTCACGTGTGGCCGTTTCGGACACACGCAGCAGGACTGCACCACCAAGGAGAGCGACTACCTCCCCCAGTGCTCACACTGCGCAGGATGGGGTCACAGCAAGGACAAGTGCGCGACGGAGGAGGCCGTCCTGGCGCAGATCGTCCATGCCGACAGCGACGCCGACTCCGTCGACAACCAGGCCTTCTGCGCGGCGCCGGGCCTGCCAGGCGAGTGTGGTGCTGTTGACCTAGGTCTAGTGGGGGTAACGGAACTAGGCCAGCATGTCATGGTGTACGTGGCTGATACAGCAGCCACGTGCTCCATGTTCCGATGCGCAAACGCGTTCGTGAACTACCGCGAGTGTAGTGGTTGGGTCAAGGGGATCGGAGGCAACAAGGCCCCCGTTCCTCTCCTAGGGTACGGAGACGTGACCGTAGTCTTTCTGACCGAAGGCGGTAGGGGACAAGTGCTAATCCTGAACGCCGCTCATGTGCCCGAGTCCCCCCACAACCTTCTCTCACTGTCGGCGTTGGCCGAGGAAGGCCACACGTATTCCGGCCAGAAGGGGGGGCTGACTCTCACTACGAGAGCCGGGGGGAAGGTGTGGTTCCCCCGGACGGGTAAGCTGCTAACTCAAGAAGGCTATCAAATCGAGCCGAAGGTAGACATCGCCTGTGCCGCAACAATTGTTCCTGGCGATGCGAAAGCAGCCACCCCCACTGACCTCAACTACTACCACAATTCGCACGGCCACACGCACGAGGAACTGCTCCAGAAAACGGCGAAACAGCAAGGAGTGCAGCTGACGGGAGGACCGCTGCTACCATGCTTCGGCTGTTCGATGTCCAAGGGGCAGGTGAAGCCCATTTCAAAGAGCACGGACACACGCGCAGCTAAGAAATTGTTCCGCCTCTTTCTCGATTTGGGGGGGAGGATGCAGTTCAAAAGCATTGGTGGCAACTGGTACACCCTCATCATCCGAGATGATTGCACCCGCTGGACACGTGTTTTCTTTCTGAAGCACAAGTCTGACGCCGCTGCCGCGTTCGAGCGATATCTGGCGGACTACAGAGCAGAAACCGTCCCGTGTGAGGTGTTTGTCGCACGTACTGACGGCGGCGGAGAATTCCAGGGCCAGTTTGCGGAGGTCTGCCGTAGATACGGCATCAAGCAAGAATTCACGCCCCCCAACACCCCCAAGTACAACGGTGTAGCGGAACGAGCGTTGGGGTTGCTTGCTGATTCTGCGCTTGCCTCCCGCATCCAAGCGAAAGAGATGTTCCCCGACGCACCAGTCAGCCCCGGCTTGTGGGCCGAGGCCATTTCTTGTGCGTGCCACCAGATGAACTGCACCGCCACTACCGGCAACCCTGGACACAAATCACCGTACGAGCTGTTCCACGGTACGCCGCCGCCGGTCGGGTCTACACACCCGTTCCTCAAACCTCTCGTGTTCAAATCGAGAAGAAAGGCAAAGTCGCAACCCAAGGGCGCGAAAGGATGGTACCTTGGGCCTGCCCACAATCACCCCCGTGACTGCATCCGCTTGTTAACCGAAGCTGGTACCGTGGTCACGTCCCGAAATTTCATCTGGCGTCACGTGCCCGCCGCTTCGCCCGCTTTCCCGCAGCTGCTGCCTCTCGCAGACGACGAGGAGGGCGGGGAGGGCGAGAGCAAGCAGAGCACGTCCCGTCAAGGTCCGGGGGTGGGGAAAGACTCGGAGAGTGAGTCTGATTCCGACTTCGACGTGACGGAGGCTGGGCGAGCGACGCTGCCGGTGCAAG